TCTCTCTCTCTCTCTCTCTCTCTCTCTCTCTCTCTCTCTCTCTCTCTCTCTCTCTCTTCGCTCTTCCCTCCTTGTCTCCTCTCTCTCCTTTGAATACTCCATTCAGTGAACTTTTTTTCTTTTTCTTTTCGTTATTCAGTGTCCGCCACGCATGCACTGCACACTCTCAAACTGTTGAAAAACAGACCTAAGTTCGAATCCGGATGGAATCAAATGAGTAAAAAACCTTGGAATTTACCTGGGGCCAGTCAGTTCGACGATGATATCTCAAGGTTATCGCCATTTTCAGAAGAAAAGAAAAGAAAAACGTGTCCGTCGCACATGATGCCTCGACCCCTCCTAGCTCCTCGAGTCAACCCCTCCTTCCTACACAGGCCGACTTATTCGATCCTCCTCCCTCCTTCCTCCTTCCTTCCTCCCTACTCTCTCTCTCTCTCTCTCTCTCTCTCTCTCTCTCTCTCTCTCTCTCTCTCTCTCTCTCTCTCCTCTTCAAATACTCCATTCCGAATTGCTGATTCCTCTATCAAATTTGGCCGTCTATATTTATTTATTTTTTTACGACAGCTGGAGATTGACGAAGGAGAATGGAGGGGGGAGGAGAGAGAAAGGGAGGAAGGAGCAGAGAGAGATGTGACGAAGAAGAAGGGAGGGATGAGGAAAGAGAAAGGGGGGAAGGAGAAGGGAGCGATGTGACAAAGAATAAGGGAGGGAGGAGAAAAGAGAAAGGGAGGAAGAAAAAGGGAGAGATTCTCCTTCGGCAATCTCTCCCTCCTCCGTCCTCCCTTTATCTCGCCTCCTCTCTCCCTTCTTTGTCGTCCATGTCTCCCATATCCTTCCTCCCTTTCTCTCTCCTCCTCCCTCCTTCTTAGTCTATCTATCCCTTCTCCTTCGTCCCTTTCTCTCTCCTCCTCACTCCCTTCTTCTTCGCCATATCTCTCCCTCCTCATTTCTCCCTTTCTCTTGTCTCCTCTCACCCCTCTCCTTCGTCCATCTCTCCCTCCTCCTTCCTCCCTTTCTATGTCCTATCTTTCCCTTCTTCTTCGTCTATCTCTCTCGCCTCCTCTCTCCCTTCCAAACCAGAAACCTCAATTGCACATTTGCAATTTTGCATTTTATTTCTCCTCCTCCTTTCGGAATGTTGTTTCTGCAATCCAATTTGCGAAGGCTGCAAAGGCAGCTGCCCCTGCAGCAGCAGCGAGAAGTGCGGCCACCAAAAAAGGAAGGAAGAAAACGCAGCGCAGCAATGTCATCAACGATGACGAAAGCGGCGATGATGTGGCAGCAGCAGTTCAAAATGTTGCAGCAGCAGCGGGCGACGACGCATCAGCAGCACCTTCCTCGTCATCCTCATCTTCCTCGTCGGAGGATGAGGATGCGAGTGGTTGAGTCCATGGAACAAAGTGAACGAGACAGGGATGGGACAGGGGAAAGTTTGGAGGAAAGTGAGGGGCAATCCGGGGAGGAAGGGGAAGAAGACACCGGGAGGAGTAGGAGTAAGCATCAAAGCTCACTCCTTTTGCAAACTTTGAGACTACGAAGTGCTGCTTCCTATTTCAGAACTTTGAACTTTTTGAACTCGTGTTTTTCGTCTCATCTGATATTTGAATCGCAGTTTATTACAGTGGAGTGGACAGGTCTCTAGACAGATATTCAAACCTATTTCATATTTCTATTATTTGCATTATTGCATGAGTTTGTGAAGTCTTGCATTTCTGGGGCTGGGGGCTATGAAATCTGTAAAGGTTTGTGGCAACTTCGTGTTGTGCTTCACTTGTGTGTGTCATCTGCTTTTTACGCGGTTATGATTGGTGATCTCATGATGTTGTGACACAATGTGGTGTGTGTGCCTGTTATTTGCCCTGTGTCTGTTGTTCCTTGTGCACACTGTGAATCCACTGGGTTATCCGCACCACCTGCAGGTACATATTGGCAACCTCCTCGTCCCCTATTTCACCCCTCCGTTTGAAGAAACTCTGTGACGCCTCCCTTTTAATATCAACTTTCAAGTTCTCCTATTGAAATTTGTAAACTTGATTAACTGGTTTGAGTGTGTGTGTGTGTGTGTGTGTGTGTGTGTGTGAGAGAGAGAAAAAAAAAAAAAAAAAAAAAAAAAAAACCCTGATTTTTACACAAATCGACGGGGGAAGCACACAAAGGCAGTTTTTTGGCATGTCAACACATACCGCAGCAGGGGGCATCTAAAATAAAGAAAAAAAAAATGCAGCGCATCTCGTGCATCACCCCGGGAGGTACATCGCATGTGCATCACCCCGGGAGATATTTCAATCACAACATACGTGAGCTAAGTCCAAGCACTTCAAGCCAAACGTGGAGATAAGCATCTTCCTCTGTGTTATCGACTCTATCTCGCCCTTTTTCCCACAACATGTATGTCGTTTCCGTCTCTCTCTCTCTCTCTCTCTCTCTCTCTCTCTCTCTCTCTCTCTCTCTCTCTCTCTCTCTCTCTCTCTCTCTCTCTCTCTCT